GCGCAATGCAGAATACCACCAGCTATAATGTACTATTGCTGGGATTTGTTGTGCTCCTCTATAGCTGGTGATATTCTGCATTGCGCTGTATATTGTACTATTGCTGGGATTAGTAGTCCTCTATAGCTGGTGGCATTCTGCATTGATTGCTGTATAATTTTACACTTTCCATTTCACTATATTGCACACCACACTTTTTTTTTCTTTTTTACTTCCACCGCTCCAAGCTTGCTCCTTTCAATACAAACTAGTAGTCCATCACTGGAGCCATTTTTTAAAATGTATTTGATTGTTTATCCGATTAACCGATTAATCAAAATTAATAATCGGCTAACTAATCGATTTTGAAAATAATCGTTAGCTGCAGCTCTACTGTGATTTCTACTTACACCCCTTGCAGAGCCCACTTGAGATCCCACACAGCCCACCTGAGAGTGACCCTACAGAGCCCACCATAGACTCTCTATAATGGGCTCTGCAGGGTCTCAGGTGGGATGGTCACACTCCTTACCTGTCAGCCCCGATCCACTGTCCGCCGCCTCCTGCTCCACGGGCGCTAGTGTGCCCCACCTCCTCCTACGTTGCCGGGGCCCGCCTCCTCTGCTGCTCACCCCGGGCTCCACCTCCGATGCCAGGTCCAGCCTCCTCCTCCGCCACTGCTGGCTGTCACTGACTCGGCAGCGGTTGTGGAGAGGAACGCGCTGTGCACAGATCACTGTCAGTGATCTGAACAGTGGCGCGTTCCTCTTCACAGCCGCCAGTGACGGCCAGCAGCATTAGATGCCTGGGTGGCTCGCATGGCATCAGGGATGTCCTGGCCGGGCCCCAATGTGCCCTGGGCTCTATAGCGGCCGTCTGGGTCTCTATTGCGATTGTTACGCCACTGGGACCAGATAAGAAAGTTGAATGTTGGTCTAATGAAAACCAGAATGTTGTTCTAAAACCAAGTGCTGTAGAAGCCCTTCTAACCATTTATCAATTTACCTTCTTTACTTGCAGTCTGAGAGCAGTGTAAAGGTAGACTGGAATGGTTATGGGTCAATTTCAAAGTGTACCCATAGCCGAAGCATAAGGAAAGTGAATGTTCTTCTTTACTTCCTGTCACAGAAAGGAAGTTCCCTTTCCTTATGTCTCAGGAAGTGAGAAGAAATCTCTACAAAGTGAGAGGGTCTTTCCTCTAGCCATTTGTCACTAGATCAGATGCCCCCAGTGGAAGATTTACTCTCACCTCTTGTGCAAAATATTTTGTTTTTTTCACTTTTTGCCGCGGTAGAAAAGGTCACTCGAGCAAATAGGGAGAATAAACTTGTGCGAAAAAGAAAGTACACCCTCTTTGAATTCAATGGTTTTACGTATCGAGACATAATAGGAATCATCTCCTCCTTAGCAGGTCTTAGAATTAGGTAAATACAACTTCAGATGAACAACACCACATGATATATTGTGCACACCGTAACAATGTTCATACCCATGCGAATGGGCCCTTTTGTATCTTCCAAATCTTACGGAGTGTGGGATGCCTGTCTCCACCTTATACACTGTTGTTCTATCCTCGGTCCCTATGTCACTACAGGAATGGTGATGTAAGGGGCAGAGGATGGAACCACACTGTCACAAAGGCTTTTGATAGGAACTGGAAGTGGCAGTTTGAACACAAATTACGCATGGTCCACTGTTGTCACCATAAGGAAACCCACCTCAATAATGCCATGCAGCCATCGCTGGAGGATATATCGATAGGAAGTGCCTAAAAAAACTGCAGGAGATCAGCAGCATAGCGATGAAACAAATGTTTTGTTGTTTAAAAAGGGCAATTGTTTACAATAAAGAGTGCTTTAGGGTTCACATTTACTTTAACGTCTGGAGAAATAGATCCTTAAAATTTTGGGATAACTAAACTGGGGTGGGTACGCATAACTCTTCTTTATTATTGTCGTCCTTAGGAAGCTAAAGCCGCCGTTGAGGAAACCAGAGCGCTGCGTAGCAGAATCCACCTGGCTGAAGTGGCACAGAGACAGGCGCGAGGCGTGGAGATGGACTACGAAGAAGTCATCCGCCTCTTGGAAGCTGAAATAACGGAGTTGAAAGGCCAGCTCGGCGAACACTCCGGCCAAAGTAAAGTAAGCCGAACAGCCATCATCCGTTACCATGGCTTCCCCCCGAGCAGTCATGTGATTCCTTTCAGTAAAGTAGGTCAGCATTTGTCTTGTATTATTCAGTGCTCGCAGTGATGTGCAGCACTGAGGACACTGTGGGCGTAGAGACCCTTAATATTAGAAAAGCCGGTATTAGTTTGTCCGCGGCAGGGAGTAGCAGGGGTTAGCACAGTTAACTGGATTATACAGTGAAGTGCACCTGTCATCTTACAGCGATCTCAATGGAGGCTGATAGGAAAGGCGCTACCCTTTTTTTTTTCCATTTACAGTAAACGCATTTATGAATACCGAGTCTGCACATTTAACTGGCTCAACATTCAGTATTCTCTGGGAACAAGGCAAGAAGCTGTGCAATGGTTTAGGGCTTATGAATGAAAACATCAGCACTGCATTTCACTGTCTCACATTCCTTGGTATATTCTACTCACTTTGCCATGTTAGCTGTGATGGAACGAAATTAAAGTGGACCTTTACCCCCTTTCACTTAAAATGACCTCAGCGTGCCGCTCTGCATGCTGATATGAAATCAGCTTACATCCATTAGTTAACCCCTTAAGGACCAAGGCCTTTTTTTAAATTTTTTGCACCCATGCTATAATCCACATTTTAGGCCTGAAAATTACTTAAAAACCCCCAAACTTAATATATTTTCTGAAAGCCAAGACCCTATAGAATAAAATGGTGGCAGTTGCAAATGTTTATGTTGCATGACATTAGCGCAACTCATCAAACCCGAAAAAAATTTGTGAAAAGTGCACTTAAGTTCAATTTAGTGCCCCAAAACACTATATAAAACCATTTTTTTGTAAATTATAAAAGATGAGGTTACAGTGAGTAAATAGCTACCTAATATGCCCAGGTAAAATTTGTGTGCGTCTGTGAAACTGCGACATAGACAATGCTTTAAAAGCCCCTACAGTTCATCAGTTTAGAGATGCGCATAAATATTGGCGCTAGAATGATTGCTCTCACTCCAGTGTGCGATACCCAACATGTGTAGCACAATCGGCGTGTTCGTACGTAGGCGCACCTGATTCGTGTTTATGTGACGATGTGGGGCAGGGGACATTTAATGTATTTAATATTATTTTTGAACGTGGAGTTTTTTTTTTCTACTTTTAATTGCTATGACATAGGGGGGCTTACAAACAAACCCCCATGTGATAGCATATTGGCAGCGACAGGTACTCTTTAAGGTGATGCTGGGGGTCCAAAAGACCCCTAGTGTCACTTTTACACTCTAAATAAGCTATTGAAGTATAGATCACACTTTAATAGCTTATTGCTGGGCTTCAGGACAGCTATGGGACCGGAAGTGATGCAATACACGTTGCTCCCAGTCCCACAGTACGGGGAGGAAATCGGTGGACGGACGACACCTGGCAAGCCGGTCCTGGGGCCCGTAGGTGGGACAGCAAGGCGGGGGTGTCGGGTGGGGATTTGTGTACAGCATGGTTACTGGATCGTAGAAGCGATCTGGCAGCAGCTGAGCCACCAGAATCGCTTCTACTGTAAAGCCGGCCGCCGGCTCTACAGAACTGAACAGACTCTGTTTAACCCCTTCAGGATTATCCCGTTATGGGTCGTGAAGGAGTTAAACAGAATTTTTATTTTATTTACACTTGTTTTTCCACTTCCTGGTCCTCTTGGGCATTAGTGACATAATGTGCCCAAGCATTGCATCCTGGGAAGGTTACATCAGCTGAGCATTGCTTGGAAATCTCTTCTGTAATCCCACAGGATCTCAGGGGAAATGCATTTTCCTCCCCTGAGATGATGTGCATGGTCACATGTCCTAGTCACATCTGTCAGAGTCCCAGGAAGTAAAGGGAGGTGCCCTTAATCTGCTCTTAGTAAAAATGGCCGCTGTCAGAAAACTGGGGAGGAAAATAAAAAGATGGTATGCAAAGAATAAAAAGTCGGGAATTATTTATAATTTTATCTTTGTAGTTTGCTATAACTAAACATCTCTAAGGGTGTGTTTGTTGTCATTTCAAAGAAATGGGTAAAGTTCCTCTTTAGGCTTGTTACTCATAGTAAGCATAAAGAAAATTCCAGCTACAAAAAAAAAAATGAAAAGGCCACTTTTTTTTTTGTATGTGGCACTTTAGCAGGCCACCCTTTTTTTATTTCAGAGCAGGCAATAAGTACAAATATTTCCAAAATAAAGGAAAATACTCTTAGCCGGTTGTCACTGGACCAGGCGTCCCCATTGGAAGATTTCCTATCTATATCTGCCCTGGTGACCACTGTAAAGTTTTGAGTTTCCTCCACAGCAGATACACAGCAGAAAAAGAACCTTAACAGGGTTTTGACCCTTCTTTACTCCATTCAAAGCTAAAATTAAGTTTTGGCCTTAAATACATTTGAAAGCACAACTCTAGTTTGGCATCCCCCCTTCTCTCCATTTCCTGCCCCCTCCCCTCCTGAGGTCTTTGGTCCAGTCATGTGATGTCACAGGTCCGCTTTCTCTAGCAGTGGGCTGGTCCTGTCTTCCTGTAAACAAAGGGCAGCTTGATGACATACCCCCGGGGAGGTGGATGGTCCATCCCACCCTGGACTCCAACACCAGTCTTCTTCCAGGCCAAATGACCTTGAACTGTAGAGGACTGGAAGATGAGTCGGCTGGTGATGGCATTAGATTAGAGACAATGGTAATTATTATAGCCAGAGCTTAATTTTTTTTCTTTTTACGTACCGGGCAATTATTTTGTACATTTTTCTCTTCACACCATCTCCAGTGCGTTTCAGCACGGTTAGCTGCTGGAATGCACTGGATTGCATAGTGTCCAGCTCCCTGCGTTCTTGGGTTGGAGGGGGTTTGGTGGTGCATTCAAGTCAATGGTATCACAGCCACGCCCCCCGCCCGCAGTGCGATCGCACACACCAGAACGCATGGCACAGCAATTCCCACGTTCCGGTCCGGTGCGATTGCAAAAAATAGTGCTTGCTCTATTTTTTGTAATTGCACTGGACCGGATCGCAGGAATTGCTGTGCCATGCGTTCTAGTGTGGGTGATTGCACTGTAGGCGGGGAAAGCGGCCGTGGTTCCTGTGCCATTGACTTGAATGCACCGCCTTGACCCCCCCCACCCCAGAACACAGAGAGCTGGACAGTATGTGCTCCATCAGCTAACCGTGCTGGAACGCACTGGAGATGGTGTGAATGTAGCCTTAGGCTGGGATTGGGATTTAAATTATTGCTGTTTGCAGTTTCCCCAGTGGAAGTGAATAAAAAGAACATTTCCCTCTACAAGGCTCCCTAATTACACATGCATATATTGAACTAGAAGACATAACCCTTTAAGGTTTATGAAAACATTTATTAGGTGATATGGAAGAGTTATAAGTCAGGTGTGTTCTACCGTGCCTCTAAGTGTGTCCTTCGTTTTACACATGAAGTGCTAATATTAGATATATCTTATTGTAAAGTGTTTTCCATTGTGCGGAGTCTTCAGCAAGTATTCAAGGACAAGTGACGTGAAATTTTAAAATAAAAAAATTGCACCTACTTCTAAATAAATAGCTCACTTAGTATAGTTGCGAAAAAAATCTGTACAGTAGTGGTTGGGATTATGTGGATTATGTGATGTTCTTAAAAACTCTTAAAGGGCCTATTCATTTAGGGTTGGAAAAGGGTGCAGACAGAAAAGTGTAAATGACTCTCTCATCCAAGCCTACTTGTTTGGGCTGTGCAGGAGCGCCTGTACTGTATCCATAAACATATTGCCAGTCATAAAGCTTTTATGATCCAGTCACACTCCCGTGCCTACTTTACACACGTTTGCCATATGTGTTCTATGAGGTTTTGGTAGATCAAAGTGGGTAGTTTAGAGAGAACTAGTCATGGATGGGTATTTGCTACATTCTCCGGACCTGAATTGTTATAATTAGGGATGCACCGATACTAGTATCGGTGCCGATGTCGAGTATTTGGGCGAGTACTCCGATGCCTAACCCGATACTTCTGGTATCAGGAAGCCGGGCAGCAAGTCATTACACGCTGCCCGGCTTCCTGATTGGCCGGGAAGCCGGCTCCATGCTCCCTCGTCACTTGACTGGTGAGTCTTTACACGCCACCTGACTTCCTTAATGGTATCGGTGTCAGTATCGGTGCATCTCTAGTTATAATAGTTTATTTGTTAGGGAATTGGTTGACTTTTGATTATATTTTATTTTTTTCTTAATTTACTTGTATTCTCTTCCTGTCAGAGCACGAATGTCAATCCAGAGTCAGGTTGTAAAGCCCCCAATTGAGGCTGCCTTATCTCTTGCTTGAGCTCATTGTTGACCATAGCCATACTATGCAGGATGCTAGAAAAGTCGTCATGAGGTGAAGAGGGAGCATGAAGCTGGCTTCCCGGCCAATCGCAAAACGCCGGGCGTCTTTACACGCTACGAGGGAGCATGGAGCCGGCTTTCCGGCCAATCGGGAAGCCGGGCAACGTGCAATGACTCGCTGCCCGGCTTCCTGATACCGGACGTATCGGGCTAGGCATCGGCGCATTTGGGCGAGTACTCAAATGTATTGGTATTGATGCATCTCTAGTTTTATTATTACTAAAACAACTACTTAGAGATCCAGATTATTACAGACGTTTACTCGCAACTGATATGGGAAGAAAGACTTTACTAAATACCCAACAAAAAGTATAATGGGCTAGAGAAAGAAAAATAGAAAAAGGAAATAAAAATGACAAAACCAAAACACCGGCAAATTGTGGGTCCTCTAGTCATCTCTTTGCAGCATATTGGTTTTATCCTACACTACAAGTACGCTTGGCCGTACCCAGGGACATCTCTCATTGATGTGACGGTCTTTTTGTATCTGAATCAAAGGCTCAGGATCTGATCCGCAGCCTTTCTCTCGCACCTTGCCCGCCGTACAGATATGCCATGCGCCCGGCACAGAGGCTGATCCCTTCTTTGCAGGGAAAATAAATAATTGCTGAACGATCAGAGATTTTGCAACTCTCTACGTGCCATAGCAAGGACCTCACACACTTGAAAGGGCTCGTTATGCTTTGAAATGATCACTTTCATGGCTGGATATATAAAGCAGTGCCGAGGCCTGCCACATCACTTACTAATATCAGGCCATGTTAAGCCCTTATAAAGCAGCTGAAAACAGCAACGCTGGAACATTACAGTTCAAAAAAAGGCCTTTGAATGGGTCATGTATGTTGCTGTCTTCTCCTGTCTGATACATTTGCAGGCTGTGAATAATTATTTGTTTTTCCTTGTTCAGGACAACGTGCAGGATTTGAAGCGCAGGATCACTGTCCTTGACTGTCAGCTGCGCAAATCGGAGATGGCACGCAAAACCTTTGAAGTGTCCACAGAGAAATTGCTGCAGTTTGTAGAGGTCAGTTATGGTCTTTCAGAAGGCAAAAAGGAAAGCCTGTCCAGTGTAAATGTGGGATATTGCTTTAAATTCCTAGATAGCCATAGGAACTGCCATAGCTGACTTGTTTTTACAGCAAACCATGCTTTCCCGTGCTTCCCATTTAACAATGGTTTACAACCCCTATGCATAATAGGAGTTCTAATTCTGACTTCACTTGCTGCATGCTTGCTCCAGATCAATGACTTGTATGTATGTGTATGTATGTATGTATGTATGGGCATGGTCCTCCTAACCATCTTGTTTTGTATTGTGACTGTACCGTCTCCCTTCATTTTGTCAAGTGCTGTGCAAACTGTTGGCGATTATATAAATCCTGTATAACAATAATAATGAAATAAAGGAAGGCTGCAGATGACAGCCCTGTAGTTGCCACCATTAAAGTGACTCATGCTATTCCTGTCGCTTTTTCACCTAGCTGTACCTGTGCATAAAGACTGTTATAAACACTCTATTGCTCCCTCTGCCATGTCACAGCTCTCTAGCACTCTCTAGATAGCAGCTGTGAAAACTGGAAATTCGACTTTTGAAAGTAAGATTGATTTTTTTATTTTTTTTTACTTAGTCTAGATCAGGGATCACTAAATGGCTGACCGCGGGTTGGGCACGAACCGAGTAGTGGTTCTGTTCGAACTGCAAACGCACATGTGCTGGCCTCTGATGCGCTGAATGCACTGGCTTCTGTTATTCTGAAAGGCTGGCGCATCCACTGCCAGCCATCCAGCCATAAGCCAGCCCAGGTCACTCCAACTTTTGCAGCCATTGGTTACTAGAACTGCCAGCATCCTAACCACTAATGATATCATGCCCCTCCTCCTCTGCAGTTATTTATTGGTAGGACCACCGGCATCTTAACAACCAATGCTGTGACATGCATACCCCAGCATCACAGGAGGATGGACGAGTAGCTTCTTTTGTCCAGACCTGCAGCCTGATTTGCCTATGCCTGCTGAGGAATGATACAGGGTCACACTTATAGGGGCAAACAATGTAAGGGTGCATGCTCATTAGTTGTCCCCAGCAAAGTGACCCCTTACATCAGTTACTAAAGTAAGAGAGCACTCTGATGGGGACAGCTAATATAAGGGGGTGCTCTGATGCGGACAGCTAATATAAGGGGGTGCTCTGATGCGGACAGCTAATATAAGGGGGTGCTCTAATGTGGACAGTTAATATAAAGGGGTGCTCTGATGGGGGCAGCTAATGTAAGGGAAGGGGGTGCTCTAGTGGGGACAGCTAATATAAAGGGGTGCTCTGATGGGGACAGCTAATGTAAGGGGCGAGCTCTGATGGGGCAGCTAATGTAACGGGGAGCTCTGATGGGTACAAATAATGTAAGGGGGCGCTCTGATGGGGACAAGTAATATAAGGGGGCTCTCTCCAAAGTTAGGGAAGGTCCTGTCTTTCACAAATTTCCTCCTATTTCCTGTTGTATCTCTGGGACACAAAGTGATGGGAAATTTCCCCAATGGCACACAGACGGCAATCAAAAAAAGCCTGACGGGGATCTTAACCATTCCCTACTGCAGGGGTGGGCAACTTTTGTACTCCAACTGTTGTGTAACTACAAATCCCATAAGGCATTGCAAGACTAAAAGCCATAGGTATGACTCCAAGATGCAGAGGCATGCTGGGATTTGTATTTTCAGCACAGCTGAAATACTGAGGTTGCCTAACGCTGCTCCATTGCATTCAAAACTTAAAATGTTTGGACTTTGCGTACCCCTTAATGGTAATTTTGAGGGTTTCAGTCTGTTTTTTTTTTTATTATTATTATTCTTGAATAATTTCTATTGTAGAAGTGTATTGATCTTCAGAATCATTTTCCACCATGGCCCGGGTCATAGATCCTAATTGTTTTAGTATGAATGTAACCGCAATTTAGCTTATCAGCAAATTAAAGCCTAGTGGGAACATTGTTAGTGATTTTATTATTCTTGCATCCCGGTGAAAGCTGAAATCATTGGTTAAGGGTGTCAGATGGATAATTGTATATGCTTTTTCCAGAGCTGAGGAGGGTATTGGTTTTCATAATGAGAAAATAGACTGCGTTGGCTCCCTGCAGCTGGCATGTCACAGTTTCAAAATGAATAGCAAGAACAATGGGAGCCAATGGCAGGAAATTGTCTGAGCATCTTTATTTCAAGAGGCACCTTCATATACTTCCTGCAGGAGATGAACGGAAAGGTCAGAATAAAACACCCACAAGTGAAGATTATGGCCAGGAATCATAATGCAGCTTCCCCATGCAAAAGGAGATTCTCTTAAAGGGAATATATTTTTCATAACCGCTTACAAGATATAGGTCTGATTTTGTAAGCTGATCATGTAAATAATTGCAGTGTAACAAAAAAAACAAACATATTCTTAGTGGTATTATAACAAAGTGGAAGCAACTGGGAACAACAGCAACTCAGCCACGAAGTGGTAGGCCACGTAAAATGACAGAGCGGGGTCAGCTCATTCTAAAGTGCGCAGAAGTCGCCACGTGTCTGCAGAGTCAATAGCTACAGACCTCCAAACTTCGTGTGCCCCTCATATTGGCACAACGACAGTGTGTAGAGAGCTTCATGGAATGTGTTTCCATGGGCGAGCAGCTGCATCCAACCTTACATCACCAAGTGCAATGCAACGCGTTGGATGCCGTGGTGTAAAGCACGGCGCCACTGGACTCTAGAGAAGTGGGGACGTGTTCTCTGGAGTGACGAATCGCGCTTCTCTGTCTGGCAATCCGATGGACGTGTCTGGGTTTGGCGGTTGCCAGGAGAACAGTACTTACCTGACTGCATTGTGCCAAGTGTAAGGTTTGGTGCAGGGGGGATTATGATGTGGGGGGGTTGTTTTTCGGGGGTTGGGCTTGGCCCCTTAGTTCCAGTGAAGGGAACTCTTAAGGCATCAGCATACTAAGACATTTTGGACAATTGGAGGCTCCCAACTTTGTGGGAACAGTTTGGGGATGGCCCCTTCCTGTTCCAACTTGACTGCACCAGTGCACAAAGCAAGGTCCATAAAGACATAGATGAGTGAGTTTGGGGTGGAGGAACTTGACTGGCCTGCACAGAGTCCTGACCTCAACCCGATAGATCCCCTTTGGGATGAATGAGAGAGGAGACTGCGAGCCCTGCCTTCTCTTCCAACATCAGTACCTGACCTCACAAATGCGCTTCTGGAAGAATGGTCACACATTCCCATAGACACACTCCTAAACCTTGTGGACGCCTTCCCAGAAGAGTTGAAGCTGTTATAGCTGCAAAGGGCGGACCAACTCAATATTGAACCCTACAGACTAAGACTGGGATCCCAATAAATTTCATATGCGTGTAAAGGCCGGCATCCCAATACTTTTGGCAATATAGTGTATGTTGAAGTCTGTAACCAGCAGTAACAGATTTAGGTTTTTGAGGCCCCCTGTAACATAGTTTTATAAAACCTATTGATCCTACCAGTAGATCATTGCAAGTTATTATTATTATTATCATTAACAACATACTTGGACTTTAGGTAAGAGCCAAACAAATCAAAGTTTACCTTTAGCTGGCACTATTTTAGAAAAAGCTTTGAACCATATGATTAAAAGCTGGCCGATGCATGCAACCCCCTTCCCGGTCAGTGTTAAATGGCTTGTTCCCATTGCTCTGGCACTTTTGCTGGACAGCTTGGCCTGTTACAGGAAGTGAAAAAGTAATGGATTTACTGGAAGAGTCAATTGATAATAAAAATATATTGCAGGGGGAACTCAGAAAAACGAAAACATATTTGTACCATTGCCCATAGTTTCAGTTTCTGAACTGAATTTATTTGTGTTAATCATAGACATCCTTGTGGGGGATCCCCGATGAAGGCCAGGCACTCCTTGGACTCATTGTAACAAATGCCTACAATTGATAGCATAGAGCAGGGGTAGGCAAACTAGGCACTCCAGCTCTTGTGGTTCTCCAACTTTCATGAGGCATTGCAAGACTCTGACAGCTACAGGCATGACTCCTTGAGGCTAAGGGATAATTGGATTTGTAGTTTTCCCCACAGATGGCAGGCCGAGGTTGCCTACCCCTTGCACAGAGTTTACACACATAATTATAAGGTGATTTATACACTGCCTGTCACCATCTGGATTTAGCTGAGCAAATAGGTCAGCCTTCCAATGGGATAACAGGTCAGCAACGTTGTGTCCCCAAAAAATTAGGTCAGCTACCTCCCTGAATATACTGAATGACCAGGTTTTTCCATCACTGGATTTTTTCTTTCCTGATGGCACATTGGGTATATTCTAAGATGACAATGCCAGGATTCATCGGACTCAGATTGTGAAAGAATGGTTCAGGGAGCATGAGACATCATTTTCACACACGGATTGGCCCCCACAGAGTCCAGACCTTAACCCCATTGAGAATTTTCGGGATGTGCCAGAGAAGACTTTACACAGTAGTCCGACTCTTCCATCATCACTACAAGATCTTGGTAAAAACTGAATATAACTCTGGAGAGAAATAAATGTGACATTGTATAAGCTTATCGAAGCAATGCAACAGCGAATGCTTGCCACAATCAAAGCTCAAGGCAGTCCATCGAAATATCAGAGTGTGTGACTTTTTTTGGATAAGCAGCGTACATCTATACTGACCTGCTTCTACCAATGATCGTCAATTGAACGTCAATACAATACATATTTATAATGCTGCCACTGCTTATGAACAATTACCACTATGCATAATGCTAAATAGAATGGCCATGTTAGGGGCCAGCACAGCTGGGCAGCTTTCATATTAAGTCTTTGATGCCCACTTCCCTCTCTTAATGCCTCCATAATGTGCAAAAACACTGACGCCAGGCGCCCACCTGTAGTATTCAAGAGTGCTGAATTTCTAAAGTACAGTAAAAATAAAATAAACCATTTACTTTTCAGAACAAATTAATTAGCTTAAAAACACATTGTTGTATTTAGGTGGAAAATTCCCTTTAAG